CTTTTTATCTTGATCTACCCGTGAAGGTCCGGGTCAGAAAATTGATCTTCAGTAACCCATGCTTGTCGTAAGAGACGACTAACGGGACCACTGTCAGGCTCGCTGACTTGGTCAACACATGTGGTTTAAACATATTTTATTCTATTCAAGAAGAAAGAAAAGGATTGGCAAACAAGCCTAAATGGCTTATATTAATGCCGCTCCATAATACATGTGAACGTTCACATTTATGCATAATGTTGTACATATTTATAGTGGTTATAACAAGTTATCTCTGAATAATAACAATCATGGATATCAACAAATTATCTTGGTTTTGTTTCGTGGCCAAATAAAAAATATATAAAAAATAAGAGAAGCTACAAAACTTTATGAATCAAAACGTTTTGATTTAATAATGAATTGATGGACTGACCGTAGAATATCCATATTCGTCTGATGAGATACTGAGTTATTGCCATTTAGCACATCCCGCACGGAGAAACCTTTCACATAGAAATACGATTCGTATCGAACGGTATTATATTCGATATGGCCAGCTATAGTCAGCACGGGCATACATACATGCTGGTCAACACACGTCATCAGTTCCCAATTGCATAGATCGATGCTCATGCTGTTGATCTCTGGGTTGTCTGGTCCAGACAGACAGACCGCCGCCATATAGCTGGAATATTGCTGAGTATAGCACTAACAACTACAACAGACAAACAGCTGTTGATGATATAGTTTCATCCAATATACTATATCACTGAAGCTATTACCTAGAGACACTGTTTGATATACTGTCTGAACTCACTCACTCACCCATATATCATGCATCCATTTGGCATGCAGGTTCCATCTGTATAGCTGATTACAAATCATCTGTCCACTCAGTCTAACACCTGTGAGGTGAGGTGAACATGGGTTTAATATTTCGCTCATATTACGACGTGCATGTATGTACGGCTGCTTGTACTAGCCCAGACTTAAGCTGGTTTTATAGTGCTAGCCCACTGAGATACCATGCCGCAGTGAAGTATAATACTCCACTCAGACACATTATACTGTCTCCGAGCCGACCAGTCCTTATTGTACCCATTAATGCCGAGCGCCAGGCAGGGACCAACAAGTACCATATTTTAACATCTTTTGGTATGACGCGGTCGGGGATCGAACCTGCCACCTTCTGCTCTCCGGGTGGACGCTTTAACCACTACACCACGGAGGCAGTCCCTAACACCTGTAGCTCTGTGAAGCCAATCTCCAGTTTTGGAGGCACTCTGACCACGGTTTAGTAAGACAATCATTGTGTGCCAGTTGTTGCCCTTAGTCGACCAAGGTTTCACAAAGCTATCGTAGCGCTACGACTGTCGTAATTCTATGTTACAGTGAAGGAGCTACGACAGTCGAAGTGCTACGATAACGTTTTCGAAACAGCGCCCTGATCAACATCTGTTATCAATGTTTTCTGTCTGCTGACATTGTGATTGTAATTTACTAATAACTGACTGTGAAACATTAAAAGCTTGGGCCATAATGTTCTGTCTTGTTCCAACTTCCAAAATGCCCATTGCACAAAACCGTTTCTGAAGTGACAGCCGGTATGTGTCAAAGACATGTAAGGCCTAAAAAAGAAAAACGTTCAGATTACCCGACCGACCCTTGAATTCTGGTGCCGACCCTAATTTTTTTAAACGGTTTAAATGAAATAAGCTTTTAGATACCATTGTTTTTTCCGACAGACATCAGAAATTCTGATAGAGAAAGTCAACATGATAGCCAAAACCTTGATTGAATAAACAATTATACAATGATAAATGTGTTATTTGTTTGTACTTTACTTCTAAAAAAATGTTAAAAAAAAATCCTACCTACCTACCCTAAATTTAATGAGGTGTAATTGGAACCACAAGATTATTTTTATTTGGCCTAATTGTGTTTATCAGAGCATTTAGTCTGGTGGTTATCACTGAGACATACAGCGACACACTGACATGGTTCACTGTAAATATAGGTTATCACGCGAGTGTGTTTTGGGATGGTTAATATCCTGCATTAGGAATAATCATTGTATTTAACGAGCCTTGGCGAGCTGAATACATAGTGTTTATTCATGATGCAGGATATTAACCATCCCCAAACACACTCGCGTGATAACCTTTTTATCATACAATGTCATTCTTACTTTATAATTTTTAAAAAATGCGATTTCATTTGCCACAAATCATGAAACTAAACTTCGTGGAATGTGTCCACATATCTATGATGTCACAAATATGTGCGTAGTAATACTTGACGTCACACTCGGTGACGCAATTTTCTACTGACCACTCATTTGACTGCGTTACGTCATCTAGTTCCTGTCGCGTGTTATGTGAAAGTGCGTTATTGTTGTCAACAAATCTTAGCTTCGTTTGAAAAATCAACAAACTTCGCGTGGAACTTCAGAAACCTTGAGTTAACCTTTTGAACAACAAATACACTTTAATGTTCTCGTGACAATGTGCATCTGGATTCCTAGTGCCGTTCTCTCGCTAACACTGACAGGCGGTCGATGTTGGTATCTTCGCAAACGTATGAATTTCTATCTTCACTTTGTAATCTACTCCATCTATCATAACCAGGCATGAATTTTCAGGGATCAAAGCACTGACAGTACCGTAACCGGACACGACCGCCGACCATTGATGCCATGTTTGTTTACACTGTGAAAGTAGTCCCTAAAATCTGCATATGACCTCTCTAATTTGCATCGATATCCATATATGACCCCAACGGATACCGAAAATATCCATTGGCTTTATCCTGCCGAGAACACTATCCATTGTATGATTAATTTTGAATATTACCCTATCCATTTTGACAATGAGTGAGTGAGTGAGTTTAGCTTTATGCCACTTCTAGCAATATGCCAGTAATATCACGGCGGGGACACCAGAAATGGGCTTCACACATTGTACCCATGTGGGGAATCGAACCCGAGTCTTCGGAGTGACTTATTGAGGAGAGCAGAACATGCAAATCGCTTTAACCACTAGGCTACCCCACCGCCCCCATCCATGCACATCATAGTGACTTATTGAGGAGAACAGGGTAACATGCACATCATAGTGACTCATTGAGGAGAACAGGGTAACATGCACATCATAGTGACTTATTGAAGAGAACAGGGTAACATGCACATCATAGTGACTTATTGAGGAGAACAGGGTAACATGCACATCATAGTGACTTATCGAGGAGAGCAGGGTAACATGCATTTCTGGGTAAGAAGAGATACTTTTCAAAAGACAAGTTTCTCTAAACTCTTCGAAGTACAAACCCAATGAACTTTTCATATTAGAGCTGTCACAGTTTTGTAGACATTGATCTTAAAATATTTCACATACATTTAACCCAGCCATTGTGATGAACATGGGCTAACATTATTATTGGAAAAATGTCTAATGTTTTTAATGAGAGAAAAAATATTTTAAAATGTTAAATAACTTCTGCAGTAATTGTCATCATGGGAAGACTTCATTGACAAGGTACAGATGACGATGGGAGTAGTCCATGTTTTTAAAGGTAAGCTCAGTTTCACCTCTTCTGTTTTTCAGAAGTCATATTGTGAGTCGTCACAATGAGAGTGACCCCTGTGGACTAGCGCCATTACTCATAACAATGACACAAATATCGGACATGTCAGTCATGGAAGTCTCAGGCAGGAACAAAAGACAATCTGCACCAAATCAATTAACACATATACATTTCTGCTTCAGGTAAGTGTAACAGCTGTCGGCCATATTGTACAAAACCACCCCACATCATTAATACAATGTCGGGCTGTGTGCATGGCACTCTACTGTATACTTGGTCATGTATGTACAGTGGAGGGAACTCAGTTGAACTTGATAAACATCGATGTCGTCATCTTCATCGTCATCATCATCATCATATTATCACCATCACATCATCATAACCAGTATCACCATTATCATCATAACTAGTGTCATCATCATCATCATCATCATCATCATCATCACCATCACCACCATCATCATCATCATCATCATCATCAAGGGGAGGTGGGGTAGCCTAATGGTTAAAGCGTTGGCTCGTCATTCGCCAATCCCCATCAATGTGAAGCCCATTTGTGGTGTCCCCATGCGATGATGTTGCTGGAATATTGCTCAGTCAGTCAGTCAGTCATCATCATCATCTTCTTCTCCTTCGTCTTTTTTTTCTTCTACTTCGTCATCACATCATCATAACCAGTGTCAGCATCATTGTTATCATTATCATTGCACCACCATCACATTATCATAACTACTATCATCATCACACCGCTATCATATCATCATTATCAACATGAACGGAGAGACAGATGGACAGGCATGCAGACTAAATGCATACAACCCATGCTTGCCTCAAAAGGCAACTATGCTTGTTGTAAGATGCGACTAACGGGATCGGGTGGTCAGGCTTGGTTGACACATGACATTGTTTGACACATGTCATTTTGATCACTGGATTGTCTGGTCCAGATTCGATTATTTACAGACCGCCGCCATATAACTGGAATATTGCTGAGTGCGGCATAAAACTAAACTCACTCACTCACTCACTAAATGCATTCACACAGACAGTCAGTTTTAAAAGAATTCTTGATAAATATGTCAAAATGTGAAAGACAAACAAAAGAAATCTTGTCAGAAGAGAGTTAAGGATTAATTGTCAAAATGAATAATAGCTTTTTTAACTTGACTGTTGTTTGCGGCAGCCATATTTAAAATCAGACTAAAAAATATTTTGAAAAAGAGGTCATTACAAAAAATCATTAAAACTACAGGTGAGCTAAAACAAATCAATATTTTTATGAAACAAAACAATCTGGGCTATGAGTGTTTTCTGCATTTCTGCTTAAAACAAATATCTTTCAAATATGAATAATAATCAACATTGTGATTGCCTTGATAGAAATGACATGACTTGATGCTTGATGAAGCAGATTTTACAAAAGCCACTGCACTCACCTCAAGAGTCTTGAAGAGTATTTCCACCTGTATGTTCGCTGTGTCTCAAACAAAGGATCTCTCCCTTCTTCATCACTTGACGGTATATTTGACCAAAGCCACTTGTTTACATGTTTGTCTACAAAGGTTTGCTGAATGTTAAACACAATTTGGGATGGAAATCGTGGGATAACACTTTCCTGCCACTAACTCTGTTGTGACACCGACAAGATTAATGGCTCAGTGATACCCCCACACCAAATACCAATACAAGCAAACTGTATTGATTCATGGGAAGCTGATGTTTGACTGTGTTCCGTTCCTCTTCAGTAAATGTGTCCTTTGTCTAAATGGCTACATCAGCTGATTCGTGCCGAAATGTATCTGTGATAATGGATTTCCGCTATTTCAACAGATGGCTGGAACATTTCGTTGTCACACCTGTAATCAAGATACGGAAACTGTAACACCTGTCTCAGCAAGTTCACCTGAACTTCCTCTTCATCAGTCACTATCTGCAGGACCATTTACTGTGTCATTGTTAGTTTGGAAATTGTGAACTTTTTTGTAATGTGTGGTTCGCTGAGCCCAAAATTAGTATCATACGAAGAATATCTCTATATAGTTGTGTCTGGGCCAGATAGAGAAGTGGAGTGAGTGGGTGGGTGGGTGTGGGAGTGAGTGAGTGTGAGTGTGAGTGAGTGAGTGAGTGGTGTTAGAGTGAGTGGTAGTGAGTGAGTGAGTGAGTGGAGAGTGAGTGTGTGAGTGAGTGAGTGAGTGTGAGTGTGAGTGAGTGAGTGAGTGAGTGAGTGAGTGAGTGAGTGAGTGAGTGAGTGAGTTTGGTTTTACGCCGCGTTTCGCAATTTTCAAGCAATATCACAGCGGGGGGACACCAGAAATAGCTTCACACATCGTACCCGGCCATGTGAGGAATCAAACCTGGGTCTTCAGCATGATGAGCGAACACCTTATCCACTAGCCTACCCCACTGCCCCTGATTGACAGAATGAAAATGATTTGATATATCATTAAACATGCAAATGCACCATCATGTCGACGTTCATCTCATATTTGGATTCATGTGGATATTTAAGGTCATGTTGAGGGGTTTCTGTGTGTTTGGATGTGTGTCTGTCCGGGGGTGGGGTGTCCATGTGTTATGGGGCTTGTCAGATTGTCACACTAACTAACATCTACAGTCTGTTTGGGTCATAAAGATACTGATGAATCACAATCACAATCACCAAGATGAATCTACCCCACCTCCTGGTTTCCACCAAAGATAACATAGAAATGGTCTCTAGAGGGTTGTGACGATATCAAGAAAAGAACACTATAGTTTGTTTGGGTCAAAATGATAATGACACCGATGAATCACAATCTCCAATCGGTTCATGATCAAGCATTCATTTCAATGCAGAATGTAATGAAAACATCAGACCAACTCTGGAAAAATAGTACATAACGTTTGTCTCCAAAATAAAAAGTTACTTAACAAACAGTCATCTTTTTGTTTTGATTTTCTGTGTGATGTTTTACGTGGGTTAAGTAACAGTAGTTCTCTTGCAGGAACAGCCTCAATAGTCTTTTAAATGACTACATTTTACAGAAAAAAAACAATTCCTAAATTATTTTCATAAAATATAACAAAAGGAGACCAGAGACCTTCTTCATTTCATCTTGAAACTGCAGTAATCTAGACTTGCCACAACATATTCTAGACTTGCACGGGCTTCCATGGATATATTTGTTTCAGGGTCTGTATGACAGTCCATTGGGCTTGTGAGTATCAGTGCTTGAAATGTATAATTTAAACCAATAATTCTGTTTATATATCATGTTAGATTAAATACATATATATTAGCTGTGAGCAATCTCAAATAACTGCTCATCTGTCTGAAATATTTCAAGCCATAGGAAGCAACCAAATCCAACAGTGTCTCTAGGTAATAGTCTCAATGATACAGTGTATTGGATGACACTATATCATCAACAGCTGTTGTCTGTTGTAGTTGTTCAGAGGCCCAGATGAGCTGCGTATCCGGGTAAAATATGCATAGAAAATTTCCAATTACACATTGAAAAATAATTGTTGCGTACCAATTACGCATTTAAAATGTTGGATACGCAAAAAGTTTAAAACAAATACGTACGGAATATATTTATAAAAATCACTTGCGTAATGAAAAAGACACCGATTGCTATCAAGATGTACTGTTAGTATAGGACAAGTGTTGTACTGTCAGTATAGGATGAGTGATTTTTTATGAAATCATTTCCATTATATTTAAGTTGGTTTTGATTAGGTATGACATAAGGCAGAACATACATGCTTAGTAAACTTACTCAGTCACATAATACTTAGGTGAGTAAAATGACTGAAATACACACATATTTGAAAGCAGTGGGTAACGGAAAATGAAATACCCACTCAACATTCATAATACCCACTCCAAAAAAATACAGTGGGTGCAGTACCCACATGAGCTAAATCTTATCTGGAGCTCTGGTTGTTAACGCCACACTCCAATATTCCAGCCAGATGGCGACAGTCTGTAAATAATCGAGTCTTGATCCTGTGATCAACAGCATGAACATCAATCTACGCATCTGGGATACAATGACGTGTGTCAACTGAGTCAGCAAGCCTGACCATCCCGTTAGGCGCCTCTTACAACAAATATGGGTTGCTGAAGACCCATTCTAACCCGGATCTTCATAGGTATCAGCAAGCTGTGAAATGGTTCTCAGTATAAAAGGTTTCAGGTGAATGTCAATAAGAATGACACTTGCTTAAAACCACAAACATTAGAATACTACCACCACCCTTTGATATTATTAGTAACCGTTTTATGTCTAGTTTTATTCTTATTTTAAATGGAAACAATATAAAATATAACACCATTTTATTTCCAATATACCCGTGAAGGTCCGGGTTAGAATGAGCCTTCAGTAACCCATGCTTGTCGTAAGAGGCAGACTAACGGGATGGGTGGTCAGGCTCGCTGACTTGGTTGACACATGTCATCGGTTTCCAATTACGCAGATTGATGCTCATGCTGTTGATCACTGGATTGTCTGGTCCAGGCTCGTTATTTACAGACCACCGCGTAAAACTAAACTCACTCACTCACTTATTTCCAATAATTATCAAATAGTTCTATACAAACAAACCAAACTAATTGAAACGTTTGGACGTCTTCCATGATTGCCGATAGACCTTGCATTTGGAATTGATAGGGACCATACAAGCCGGTCATTACAGTCCTACACAAACTCTCTTAGTGACTGACTGAAGGAATCGTACAAATTAGCCACTACAATCGCTTAAATGTCCAAGGGAAAACAAAAACACCTGTGGGTGTAGCACTGGCTGAATATGAGGATTATCAGAAACTGACAAAATGACTTTATCATCATCATCATCATCATCATCATGTTGCTGCATGTCATCCAGGCTGGTTGGTGCAGTTGGTTCTTTTTCTTGGTTTTGGTTGAGAAAACCACACTTCCAATCGGGAGAGGGTCATTCTGCAAATTAATACAACCCTCCCCACACTCAGTTCCACAACAAATTGGTATGGTAGGGTTTAAGGTGTCCTTTAAGTCAGTGAGTTTGGTTTTACGCCACTTTTAACAATATTCCAGCAATATCATTGTGTAGGACACCAGATATGTGCTTTACACATTGTACCCATGTCGAGAATCGAACATGGGTCTTCAGCGTGATGAGTGAACGCTTTAACCACAAGGCTACCCTACTGCCCCAATGTGGAGGAAAGCCTGAATAAGTAATGCAGATCTCAGACATATACCACGTTAGTGATTGGAACCCCATCAGCAAGTATACCCATGATGATGGTGAAACACACAAGCAAAAATACGATGAAACACATGATGGTGGATACAGTTGAACACACATGTAATGATATGGTGAAACACATGATGACAAGTACCAGGTACAGTGCTGACAACACATTTAAACCAAGAAGTGTAATCATGCAACTCAAATCTGGGAATCGATCTAACAATCGGTCTCAGCACACCTAAGGGGAGCAGCTCTGCAAAATCTGTTGTTGCCAACACTCAATAAATGTTGTGCCTTTTCATGTATATAAAGAACAACAAAAACATTGTCTACCACATTCAATGCGAATGTGGTGACTTGTACGTAGGTGAAACATCCTGCCCCCTAAAATGAGAATCAAGGAAGATCAGTCATCTGTGAGGAGAGACTCCAAATCAACCATCTTCGACTACACTCAAACCTATCCAAATCATACCAGCCTTGGAAACAGCATCAACTGAACAACATCAATGGAATTGAATTGAAAAAGCCAACCGGTCATCATACCCCAAGGTGAGAAAACTTGTATCAACATCAAACGATTCAAACCAACCATCAACAGAGATTAAGGTTATTACATTCCCACGGCTTGCCATCATCTAATAAAGGCCAATCAAGATGTATATTTTCTCCTAGTGCATGAAGTTGTGTATTACTTGCTTGATAACAGTGTTAGCATCTGCACCGAAACATCGCACCCATTGCAATAAAGAGTGAGTGAATGAGTTTAGTTTTATGCCACACTCAGCAATATTCCAGCTATATGGTGGCGGTCTGTAAATAATTGAGTCTGGACCAGACAATCCAGTGATCAACAGCATGAACATCAATCTGTCCAATTGGGAAACAATGACATGTGTCAACCAAGTCAGCAAGCCTGACCACCCGATCCCGTTAGTCACCTCTTACGACAAACATAAGTTACTGAAGATCAATTCTAACCCGGACCTGAAAGAAGTTGTAAATATTATCCATTATAAAATAATCGTTCCTGTTGAACAAGAACATATACAAAGCCCTGTAAGGTAAAAGGATGTTCATTTAACGGGAACAGGTCAAAAGGGCCAAAGGACAAAAGGGCCAAAATTGAAAAAGTCAAAAGGGCCAACAGAAAGTCAAAAGGGCCATAGACTTAAGTCAAATGGGACAGACATTTAGAAAATAGAAAGATTAAAAGAAATTCATGACATGTTGTTGCAGTAGTAATCCTAAACATCCTAAATACATCAGAGTGCCTCAGTGTTGCTTATTTAAAAAATCTCAGAGTGGTTAAGTGTTTACTTTATACCATATAACTGTTTGTGTAATGATTACAAGTAGTCAGTAATCTAAACAAGTTTAACAGTAGTGGTTAAGTGTTTATGTTGTGGGCAACCATACAACTTTCTGTAATGATTACAACAGGTTTAAACAGTCATAGGTGTCAGACACTAGTCAGTAATCTAAACAAGATTAGTGTTTTGATTTGTTGTGAGGTTTAAACAGAGTCATGGGTGTCATTAATCTAATAAGTTGTGATTGGTCTCATGACTCACAATGCTATATAAGACGTTTGAACCACTCAACTGTTGAGTGTATGATGATCACACTAAAAAGTATTACTTTTATTACTATTTACATATTGATACAAATACTACTAATAATAAATATTAACATAATAAAACATGAAATATATATTAGTTTGTATGTTCTTTTTTTACCTATGGCCCTTTTGACTTTCTGTTGGCCCTTTTGACTTTCTGTTGGCCCTTTTGACTTTCCTTTGGCCCTTTTGACTTTTACAATTTTGGCCCTCTTGTCCTTTGGCCCTTTTGACTACAACCCCATTTAACAATGTTGATTTCACTGACTGAATATCTAGCACATACTAACAATTGTATACATAGACATTCATCGGCAGTTGTGGAGAGTATAGTGTCTAAGCAGAGACCATATAATAAATTATATGGTCTCTGGTCTAAGTAAAACTTTGGAAAGAATGGGTTCAATGCGAGAAACGTATTTCTGGTGTCGACAGTTATTGTGATATCCACGGAATACCGGCATTTTCAAATAAGTTCCATAACACAAGCTCATTACTTTTCAAAATTAAGTCAACACGTTCCTTTAGTCGAAACAATTCACATTCACAAAAGACGAGGATGAAATTCATAAATATATCCTATCACATCACCTGTTTATAATTCCTCATGACTACAATGTGGCAATACACTGATGTGCGTGTGATACTGTATCTATTCACATCCGTGCTGTTTCACATGAAGCAACTTCCGTTAACTCACCTGGAGATAAAATCATTCTCAAGATTTCTACAACCACCTGTTGACGTTTACAATTAAAGGAAAACAAATTAGAGTGACCTGCCCTTGATGATTTGGTCCAAGCAATGGGTATTTTACTAGCGCTTCACTTGGACTAAAACCTTTTAACCACAATAGTTGACCGAACCTGTAAAGTCCACGAGCCATATTATTTTCCTTTCCGCCCACTATGTATGGCCTGGACTGTGTTAACAGAAAGTCTTTGCTAATCGGTTTTGTCTCATTGCAACTGTTGAGGAAGAATAAGGTTGGACTACAAGCAATATAAACCTGAGTGGCTGTCAATCAGTATCTAAACTCACGGGCGAAAGAAACATGTTCAAAAAGCGAGGTGACGTTTCTTTCGAGGTTACATCTCAGACATCTCTCGAGTGAATAAACCGTTCTACATCTTTTCACGCAAGACAGATGGTTCCCAGAATTTTCTTTTCATCATACATTATCGTTTTCCAAGAAATTGGTCTGACGAAAGACTATTTCTTTTGTTCATGTTTGCCGCTGCAGAAATGCTGCATATGCACAAGAATATATCTTGGAGCAAGTACCGTTTTGCGGGGTTTATTGATGTTGTGGAAGACCACTGACATGGCCTTAAACCTGATCTTGTGACGATCAGACAAAATCTGAATGGACAACGACACATCACTGGAATCCCAGACAGTTGTACCACAGAAATAAACAAACAAACAAACAAATAAATATACAAATAAGCTAGAACAAGTCTTAATTTCAATCTAGACATAACCCCCTATTGTATATTTGGGTGGAACTCAGTTTTATTTATTCCTCTTGGGTCAAGGATACACGAGTCACTATTAAGGCGCCGCAATTAGTTGTACACAGTAGCGTCCCTTGTAAGGCCGGGGCGGGGTCGTTGGGGTCCTCAGTACAACCCTGCACCCACGTAGTCATTGTTTAATGACCAAAACAACATAACTCCATGATCACAAGTGGCAAATACAATGCCCGCACTACTTTCTAGCCATGCATGTATTCCTTCTGGCTTTTACATGTCTGAGCAGGGAGACTATATAACGTGGAGTGGTCACTCCTCGAAAAGCCCCTTAGCGTATGCCTCGGCTCGTCACGTGACCAGTGTAGCCAATATGGCGTTTTTAAGATTGAGCCCGGTTTATTTTGTTGTAGATTATCTCTGGTCTGAGTAAAGCTACAGTTTCAGCTTCAGTGGATGAATCACTAGTTCTATTCCTGTTTCTGAAAGAACTTTGCCAGTTGATTTACACAGTTTACACATTGGTTTTTACATCCATACCGCCGGCAACGCAAAAAACACCCTCTGCAGTCAAAACGAAAAATCTATTTAATAAACTAATTTTAAAACAGTTTTTCAGAATCCCCAAAACGAAAAACCCCTCTGGCAGCGCCCGCTACATAGAGATTGGTCAGTGTTACCACCCCACAATTCGTCATCACCTGCGTTGTTGCTGCCAATGACGTCACAGACAGCGTCACGTGACACTTCAACAATTATTGCGTCTCTTTATTGGAAAGCTTTAGAGATGGGTTTGTTTGGTGTTATACAGGGAGTGTGTAGTTCCTTGACGTTGCAACATCTACGCGATGTCACTGCTAAAAGCATCGTACAAGAAGCAGGGTAAGATATGGTCAACCTGTATTAAATGGTTCCGATTCGGTTAAGGAGCCGTCATAATGACGGGCTTAGCGACAGACCATTGACACTTGTCACTATTCATTAAAACGTAGGTGCACTATGATTAACAATTGACTTATAGAACTAAACATTTAGATACATTTTTTGGGCTGCCTTAAAAGGATGAGCCTGGTCCAGTGTTGCTGGGTGTTTTTTGAAAGCGCAAGCGCGAACGCACACACACACACGCTCACAGAATTATGTACTTATTTTAAAGAATTATATATTAATCGTGTTGATATTTTATTCGTTAGTTCCCATTTTAAGATGTATGTTTCCAGGTCCATACTCTCTAGCTTGCCCCGCTCTGTGGTACAGAACGCCAAGGTCGATCTGGGTAAGTTGTCTACATCATGCCTTTACATGAGTGAATGTTGTTTTACATTGGTGTACAAACCAGTAATCTTTATACCTTCCTGAATATTATTTCGATACAAAGGAACAACAGATAGGGTGGGGTAGGAGCCTAATGAAACTGAGTAATACACATGTCGTATTTAATGTTTTACAGAACTGAAGTCTGGATTTGCGAAAGCTGTCGTCACTGGAGGGACTGCTCTGTTGTGTAAGTAGTGTCAGTTGGTGTCATCACATCAAATCTCTAACCTATAACCTTGTGCCTTTGTCTTTACAATAGAGGAGTGAGTGAGTGAGTTGGGTTTAAATCCGCTTTGAGAGGACATGTTCGTTATATCACGGTGTGTCAGTCTGATTGGGGAGGAAAGCGGGAAGTGATGCATTTCTTTGGTGGCACCATCATGGCGCTGACAAATCTGGAAACATCATCATATAACTTAATGATTAATTTATCTGTTTAAAATGGAAGGGAAAGTCAGTAACACTCGTCAATTATGTGAAACACAATTCCACATTGGGCATGTTGTAGGAACATGATAATGATCGGGACAAAAACCTGTTTCAAAACATTGAGCAGTGGATCCTTAAACGGCCAAGGGACACAACCCTCCATCTGTCTTCCTGGTAGTATACACTATACATCTCCTGTTTCAGGTGTTGCGGGTATGACGTATATTGTGAACAAGTATGGAGGGTCAGCCCTACGACGAAAATATTTTAATAAAAAAACAGAAGTGAAAGACACGTGCTCAGTAAAACAGCATCACCCTGAGGCTGAGGGACTTGAATCGGACTCCTGTTCCAGCCAACTATATGATCCAAAGTGGTGTGTGTCCCCTGGGAGCCTGTGGTGGGAAGTGGCAGGGGATGCCTGGTCCCGAGGGGAGGGGGTTCCCAATGACCCACTGTACGGGATACCCCCATGGATGGAGGCAGGCGGGCGGGACGAAAGTGAAGATGAAAGCCTCAGCTGGGACGAAGAATTTAATATTCCAGCAGGTGCCCTGTGGGCTGACATTTGTCCTGTGGTGGACTTGGTTTCAGAGGCACCCTACTAGCTGGAGGAGGAGGAAGTGGTGTAGGAGACAAGGTGAACAAGAGGGGAACGGTGTTGGAGGAGGAGCAGCGGGGATGTATAGAAGAGTGAGTGAGTTTAGTTTTACGCCGCTTTTAGCAATATTCCAGCAATATCACGGCGGGGGACACCAGAATGGGCTTCGCATATTATACCCATGTGGGGAATCGAACCCGGGTCTTTGGCATGATGAGGGGACACTTTAACCACTAGGCTACCCCACCTCCCCTACAGGCATGGACTAATGCGACAAGCTTTGCTGAAACATCTGCCGTAGAAGAAGGTGTAGCAGGGACTCAAGGGGGGATGGGGTGCAGGAGGAGGTGTGTAGATGCAGGCTAGGGAAGGGAGGGAGGAAACCGGGTCATTCATAAAGGAGAACATAAAAAATAATATAATGAAGAAAAATATTCCTTTGTTGTTTTTGCTGCATGGACTATTTTTAAACCTTGTAAAAAGATACTTTATTAACCTCGTGTTTATATCATTTGTGATACATATATAAATACAAAAATATTTACTTTGTAACCGAATTCTTGTTTGATGTTTGTGTACATTTATTAAATGATAAAACATATTGTGGTGTTATTATAAATTAATGAAATATGTTACATTACATCTGTGGCGCCCTTACTGCATTACGTCCTAATGCACGATCTGTGAATACAACTGACAATATTACAACAAACCCTTGCAGATGGTTGGATATCATTAGAGTTAGTGTGAACTGTGAAAATCCCCAAATATTCCTTTGTTGTTTTTGCTGCTGTTGTTATCACCTGCATGGACTATTTTTAAACCTTGTAAAAAGATATTTTATTAACCTCGTGTTTATATCATTTGTGATGCATATTTAAATACAACAAATATTTACTTTGTTACCGAATTCTTGTTTGATGTTTGTATATATTTATTAAAAATTAAAACATATTGTGGTGTTATTTTAAATTAGTGAAATATCTTACATTACATCTGTGGCGCCCTTGCTGCAATACGCCTCAATCCACGATCTGTGAATGCAACAGACAATTACAACAAACCCTTGCAGATGGTTGGATATCATTAGAGTTAGTGTGATCTGTGAAAATCTCCCAGGAACTGTACACGGCTGTTGCTCCAGTTGTGGTGGTTGCATTTCAGACACTCCAGCATATATAACAAGGATTCAACGTTAGATCAAAGTGATTGAAAACGAATAACATAACTTGCAAAACTGAAATTAAAGACCATATGTTAGAGACCTATTCAGATGCACAATTCAATACCATAAACAAGATTCTACCATGACTTCAGTAAACACTGGATAGTGATTGGTTAATTAAAGTCATTCAGAGGTATATAATCCCGTTATACATGTATCTGATTTTCCGTGCGCAATCATACATGGTTTACGGTAATGCACTATTTTTGTCTGCCCAGCAACATGGCGGACACCAAACAACCTACCGATGCATCGATAAATTACGGCGATTTTGCTGTCGGAAATTACACATATGTCTTTAAAGATGGATTTAGCGATGACGGGCTCGACTCACTACTGGCGTAAATCACAGCAATAGGTGTTTATACATACAAAAGTACTTCGAAAGCATGGGAACAAATATTTAGTCGAACAAGATCAAAACATCGTCTGCTTTCCGAATAAAAATTCAGCAAAAAACAAATATGTTTACGTTGATTCTATGTTATATCAGAATAGATCCAGCAATAGACTGCTACATAATTTCCGTGTTAAATTTATTAATAGCTTTCGTCAACGATATCGCCACTGATCTTCATCCGGTAACGGAGGATGCATTAACATCGAACACCGAAGAAATTTTAATGCCTTCCGTCCACATAAATAAACAGTTGGGTTATCAATTCAAACAAAATGATATTTTGAAATTTGTACTGTTTCAAATTTAGCACTAGTAAAACACAATTACAGAATCTGCAAACCGTTCTGTTTAGCCCAACATATTTTTTTTATAAAAGTATAATATCGTTGAAAAAGTTATTTAGCTTCGTCATGATCCCTCTTATCCATTACACTGCTTGATCTAAAGTAGTCTATTAAAGTATAATTAATTACCTTACCGTGTTTATGCCAGAGGTACACCCTCATATCCTGATCCATCCTTTCGGAAATATCACCACAAATCTGGCTCTTTGTCAACAGCTAGACTCGCGAACATGCCAGCGAATCCGATTCAATTTGAATTCACTACACTTTGAAGCCACTAGGTCACAAAACACTTTCCAAAATGTAGAAAATAATATCCGTAGAATCGAATTTGATCTACACACATGAGTGTCTTTGTCAACAGACGTAGAGGTGCGTGAAGTCGTCAAGTTGACAGGGCGCAAAATTCAACAGTATCTAAATTCGGTACAACACGGACTTCTCGTTACAGAAAAAGCGCCTCTACTCTTAAATTTTTAATTCACTACACTTTGAAGCCACTAGGTCACAAAACACTTTCCAAATGTAGAAAATAATATCCGTAGAATCGAATTTGAGCACAAACTAAAGTACACACATGAGTGTGTAAGAGTCACCACAGCACACTCCGGTACAGCGATGACTTACATAACATCAGTGCCACAGGCCAATTTGCATATCACGTGACCGGACTTTTCTCTTGTTTGTAATCAAACGCGCATATTCATAATAATAAGAGACTGGACTCACGAAAGCTATTCGGCGCTCTCTTCATGTTTTACATTGTTACATATATATTCTTCCACAACTGCGGCAGTTAGGTCTATGACAGTACATATTTAGATATCAAACTGGCTGCATCGTTTACTCTCCGTCGGCTTCGATGACTGCACGTGGAGCCGTACAACCTATGTAAACAAAGGATCGCTACGCAAATCGAAATAGTGTTACATATTTTTGGATATTTTCTCAGTGAAACTAAACCAGTCTATTAAAGATGTTTAGTTAGATGTGTAGACTCGTCAAAAATAAAAGAGTAAAAGAAATCTGTACATTATATTGAATGGACATTGCAAGATGTGACGAATCGTCACATTTTTCTGGCCTGTGGCAGAGGTACTATGCTGGCTTGCCGCATGGAACTCTGGGTAGGAGAGTGTCACCACAGCTGTCGCACGCAGACGTAGAGGTGCGTGAAATCGTCAAGTTGACAGGGCGCAAAATTCAACAAACTTATCTAAATTCGGTACAACACGGACTTCTCGTTACAGCAAAAGCGCCTCTACTCTTAAATTTTGTACCAGTACCAGTAATTAGATACAAAAGACTATCTCAGTCATACAATCAGGTTAACCTTGCGCAAACTGTCAGAGGCTCTCCTGTCGCATCTTTCCACATTTGCACGTAAATGTAAACAATGACTTCCGAGACAAGGTCAAGGCCATGAGGTTGCTGCCATTATTCTGGTGGGGAAAGGGTCTACGGTGGAATTTTCAAATGTGAACCAAGCTTTTTAAACTTATTTGATATATGTTTTCCAACTTATCAGTTAATGATTGGTGATTGATGCATTGAAAAAACAAAACGTGATTTGTTATTACTGAATCTGGAGTTTGTTAGTCATTGACGGTTTGCCACCAATCACCCCGTTTCGGGCGATGCCACTTGAGATTGGAATGCAAGGCCGCTTCACGTATTGACTCGTAACCAAAGAAAGAGCTCCACCTGAAATTGTTCATAAAATTGTCATGGTAGAATGGAGATAAACCTACTGTGTGGGAAAATCAGAGGTATATAACGAAATTATATTAGCTCTAAATTTCACGCTACGCGTTCGGTTTTAAATGAAATTTAGAGCTATTATAATTTCGCTATATACCCCCTCATTTTCCCACTAAGTAGGTTTATCTCCTAAATAATACACGCACGCCCACATGCACATGCACACGCACGCGCACACACAGGTGTGTGAGTAAGACAAAGGCTATGTTAACTGATTCAGACATAATATTCATCAGTTTGTCTTGCAATAACAAGTTGCCTGTTGAAATAAAAATGTACAAATTAGAAACTTGCAAAATTGGCAAAGTGAACGGTACACCTTTGTTTGACTTCATACCGTAGTTTTTTTGTTTGTTTATTTTTTATTTTATTTTCGCCCGGCGTTTCGATGGCATAGCTATTTGACTGTGCCCCACTGCAATGGTTGAAGAATAAGGTTGTACTGTGGGAAATCTAAACCAGGGTGACTATCATCAGTATCCACATCCCAGGCATCTCTCGAGTGAATAAACCTTTCTACTTCTTTTCACGCAAGACAGACAGTTCCCAGTATTTTGTTGATATAATAAGTTATCATTTTCCAAGAAAATATTGGAAATGTGGGTTTTCTGATGATGTGAAACGATCTCCCACTGGTCTGACGAAAGTCGATTTCTTTTGTTTGTTGTGTTTGCGGCTGCAGAAACGCTGCATATGCACAAGAATATATCTTGGAGCAAGTACCATTTGGCGGGGTTCATTGATGTTGTGGAAGACCACAGACATGACTGTAAACCTGACCTTGTGACAATCAGACAAAATCTGAATGGACAACGGCACATGACTGATATCGCAGACAGTTGTACCACAGAAACAAACAAACAAACAAACAAATAAATAAATAAACAAATAGGCAAGAACAAGTCTTAATTTCAGTCTTGACTTAACCCATCATTGGAGTCTTGAGGGGAACTGAGTTTTATTTATTCTTCCGGGATCAAGGATACACGAGTCACAGAGTCTCCTAAGGCGCCGCAATTAGTTGTGCACAGTAGCGTCCCTTATAAGGTGGGGAGGGGGGTAAGAGAGAGAGAGAGGGAGGTGATGTTGGGTTTCCTCAATAGGACCCGGGTACCCCTCAGATTATCAGGACCCGTTGTTAGTCATATGGTCATTGTTAATGGCCAAAACAATATAACTCCATGATCACAAGTAGCAAATATAATGTTTGCACTACTTCTGGCCATGCATGTATTCCTTCTGGCTTTTACATGTGTGAGTAAAGTTCAAGTTTCATTCAGCCTCAGTGGATGAATCACTAGTTCTATTCCTGTTTCTGGAAGAACTTTGCCAGGACACCGGTACAACGATATACATATTTCCGTTTTGAGCTGATTTACACAGTTTACAAATTGGTTTTTACATCCATACCGCCGGCAACGCAAAAAACACCCTCTGCAGTCAAAACGACAAATATGTTTAATAAACTGATTCTAAAACAGTTTTTCAGAATCCCCAAACCGAAAACCCCCTCTCTGGCAGCGCCCTCTACATACAGATTGTTCAGTGTTACACAAAATTCGTCATCACCTGCGTTGTTGCTGCCAATGACGTCACAGACAGCGTCACGTGACACTTCAACAATCACTGCGTCTTTTTTATTGGAAAGCTTTAGAGATGGGTTTGTTTGGTGTTATACAGGGAGTGTGTAGTTCCCTGACGTTGCAACATCTACGCGATGTCACTGCTAAAAGCATCGTACAAGAAGCAGGGTAAGATATGGTCAACCTGTATTAAATGGTTCCGATTCGGTTAAGGAGCCGTCATTTCACGGGCTTAATGACAGACCATTGACACTTGTCACTATTCATTAAAATGTAGGTGCACTATGATTAACAATTGACTTATAGAACTAAACATTTAGATACATTTTTGGGGCTGCCTTAAAAAGGTGAGCCTGGTCCAGTGCTGCTGGGTGTTTTTTGAAAGCGCAAACGCGAACGCACACACATCCGCACACACGAACTATGTACTTATTTTAAGGAATTATATATTGATCATGTTGATATTTTATTCGTTAGTTCCCATTTTAAGATGTATGTTTCCAGGTCCATACTCTCTAGCTTGCCCCGCTCTGTGGTACAGAACGCCAAGGTCGATCTGGGTAAGTTGTCTACATCATGCCTTTACATGAGTGAATGTTGTTTTACATTGGTGTACAAAACAGTAATCTTCATACCTTCCTGAATGTTATTTCGCCACAAAGGAACAACAAATGGGGTGGGGTAGGAGGCTTATGTACCTGAGTAATACACATGTCGTATTTAATGTTTTACAGAACTGAAGTCTGGATTTGCGAAAGCGGTCGTCACTGGAGGGACTGCTCTGTTGTGTAAGTAGTGTCAGTTGGGCTTATCACATCAAATCTCTAACCTATAACCTTGTGCCTTTGTCTTTACAATAGAGGAGTGAGTGAGTGAGTTGGGTTTAAATCCGCTTTGAGAGGACATGTTCGTTATATCACGGTGTGTCAGTCTGATTGGGGAGGAAAGCGGGAAGCGATGCATTTCTTTGGTGGCACCATCATGGCGCTGACAAATCTGGAAACATCATCATATAACTTAATGATTAATTTATCTGTTTAAAATGGGAGGAAAAACCAGTAATACACGTTAGCCATGTGAAACACAATAACACATTGGGCATGTTGTAGGAACATGATAATGATCGGGACAAAAATCTGTTTCAAAACATTGAGCTGTGGATCCTTAAACGACCAAGGGACACAACCCTTCATCCGTATTCCTGGTAGTATACACTATACATCTCCTGTTTCAGGTGTTGCGGGTATGACGTATATTGTGAACAAGTATGGAGGGTCTGCCCTACGACGAAAATATTTTAATAAAAAAACAGAAGTGAAAGACACGTGCTCAGTCAAACAACATCACCCTGAGGCTGAGGGACTTGAATCGGACTCCTGTTCCAGCCAACTATATGATCCAAAGTGGTGTGTGTCCCCTGGCAGCCTGTGGTGGGAAGTGGCAGGGGATGCCTGGTCCCGAGGGGAGGGGGTTCCCAATGACCCACTGTACGGGATACCCCCATGGATGGAGGCAGGCGGGCGGGACGAAAGTGAAGATGAAAGCCTCAGCTGGGACGAAGAATTTAATATTCCAGCAGGTGCCCTGTGGGCTGACATTTGTCCTGTGGTGGACTTGGTTTCAGAGGCACCCTACTAGCTGGAGGAGGAGGAAGTGGTGTAGGAGACAAGGTGAACAAGAGAAAAACGGTGTTGGAGGAGGAGCAGCGGGGATGTATAGAAGAGTGAGTGAGTTTAGTTTTACACCGCTTTTAGCAATATTCCAGCAATATCACGGCGGGGGACACCAGAATGGGCTTCACATATTGTACCCATGTGGGGAATCGAACCCGGGTCTTCGGCATGATGAGGGAATACTTTAACCACTAGGCTACCCCACCATGGACTAATGCGACAAGCTTTGCTGAAACATCTGCTGTAGAAGAAGGGGTAGCAGGGGCTCAAGGGGGGATGGGGTGCAGGAGGAGGAGGAGGTGTGTAGATGCAGGCTAGGGAAGGGAGGAAACCGGGTCATTCATAAAGGAAAACATAAAAAAACCATAATGAAGTAAAATATTCCTTTGTTGTTTTTGCTGCTGTTGTTATCATCTGCATGGACTATTTTTAAACGTTGTAAAAAGATATTTTATTAACCTCGTGTTTATATCATTTGTGATGCATATTTAAATACAACAAATATTTACTTTGTTACCGAATTCTTGTTTGATGTTTGTATATATTTATTAAAAATTAAAACATGTTGTGCTGTTATTTTAAATTAGTGAAATATCTTACATTACATCTGTCGCGCCCTTACTGCATTACGTCCTAATGCACGATCTGTGAATGCAACAGACAATTACAATTAACCCTTGCAGATGGTTGGATAGTATTAGAGTTATTGTGAACTGTGAAAATCTCCCAGGAACTGTACACGGCTTTTGCTCCAGTTGAGGTGGTTGCATTTCAGACACTCCAGCATAAATAACAAGCATTCAACGTTAGATCAAAGTGATTGAAACCGAATATCATAACTTGCAAAACTGAAATTAAAGACCATATGTTAGAGACCTATTCAGATGCACAATTCAATACCATAAACAAGATTCTACCATGACTTCAGTAAACACTGGATGGTGATTGGTTAATTAAAGTCATTCAGGGGTATATAATCACGTTATACAGGTATCTGATTTTCCGTGCGCAATCATACATGGTTTACGGTAATGCACTATTTTTGTCTGCCCAGCAACATGGCGGACACCAAACAACCTACCGATGCATCTATAAATTACGGCGATTTTGCTGTCGGAAATTACACATATGTCTTTAAAGATGGATTTAGCGATGACGGGCTCGACTCACTACTGGCGTAAATCACAGCAATAGGTGTTTATACATACAAAAGTACTTCGAAAGCATGGAAACAAATATTCAGTCGAACAAGATCAAAACATCGTCTGCTTTCCGAATAAAAAATCAGCAAGAACAAATATGTTTACGTTGATTCTATGTTATGTCAGAATAGATCCAGCAATAGACTGCTACATAATTTCCGTGTTAAATTTATTATCAGCTTTCGTCAACGATATCGCCACTGATCTTGATCCGGTAACGGAGGATGCATTAACATCGAACGCCGAAGAAATTTTAATGCCTTCCGTCCACATAAATAAACAGTTGGGTTATCAGTTCAAACAAAATGATATTTTGAAATGTGTACTGTTTCAAATTTAGCGGTAGTAATTACAGAATCTGCAAACCGTTCTGTTTAGCCCAACATATTTTTTTCTAAAAGTATAATATCGTTGAAAAAGTTATTTAGCTTAGTCATGATCCCTCTTATCCATTACACTGCTTGATCTAAAGTAGTCTATTAAAGTATAATTAATTACCTTACCGTGTTTATGCCAGAGGTACACCCTCATGTCCTGTTCCATCCTTTCGGAAATATCACCACAAATCTGGCTCTTTGTCAACAGCCTCGCGAACATGCCAGCGAATCCGATTCAATTTGAATTCACTACACTTTGAAGCCACTAGGTCACAAAACACTTTCCAAAATGTAGAAAATAATATCCGTAGAATCGAATTTGAGCACAAAGTACACACATGAGTGTGTAAGGGTCACCACAGCTGTCGCACGCAGACGTAGAGGTGCGTGAAGTCGTCAAGTTGACAGGGCGCAAAATTCAACAGTATCTAAATTCGGTACAACACGGACTTCTCGTTACAGCAAAAGCGCCTCTACTCTTAAATTTTGTACCAGTATACCAGTAATTAGATATCAAAGACTATCTCAGTCATACAATCAGGTTAACCTTGCGCAAACTGTCAGAGGCTCTCCTGTCGCATCTTTCCAAATTTGCACGTAAATGTAAACAATGACTTCCGAGACAAGGTCAAGGCCATGAGGTTGCTGCCATTATTCTGGTGGGGAAAGGGTCTACGGTGGAATTTTCAAATGTGAACCAAGCTTTTTAAACTTATTTGATATATGTTTTCCAACTTATCAGTTAATGATCGGTGATTAATGCATTGAAAAAAACAACGTGATTTGTTATTACTGAATCTGGAGTTTGTTAGTTATTGACGGTATGCCACCAATCACCCCGTTTCGGGCGATGCCACTTGAGATTGGAATGCGAGGCCGCTTCACGTATTGACTCATAACCAAAGAAAGAGTTCCAACTGAAATTGTTCATAAAATAGTCATGGTAGAATGGAGATAAACCTACTGTGTTGGAAAATCAGAGGTATATAACGAAATTATAATAGCTCTAAATTGTTCATTTAAAACCTCACGCTACGCGTTCGGTTTTAAATGAAATTTAGAGCTATTATAATTTCGTTATATACCCCCTCATTTTCCCACACAGTAGGTTTATCTCCTAAATAATACACGCACACCCACATGCACACGCACGCGCACACACAGGTGTGTGTGTAAGACAAAGGCTATGTTAACTGATTCAGACATAATATTCATCAGTTTGTCTTGCAATAACAAGTTGCCTGTTGAAATAAAAATGTACAAATTAGAAACTTGCAAAATTGGCAAAGTGAACGGTACACCTTTGTTTGACTTCATACCGTAGTTTTTTGTTTGTTTATTTTTTATTTTATTTTCGCCCGGCGTTTCGATGGCATAGCTATTTGACTGTGCCCCACTGCAATGGTTGAAGAATAAGGTTGTACTGTGGGAAATCTAAACCAGGGTGACTATCATCAGTATCCACATCCCAGGCATCTCTCGAGTGAATAAACTTTTCTACTTCTTTTCACGCAAGACAGACAGTTCCCAGTATTTTGTTGATATAATAAGTTATCATTTTCCAAGAAAATATTGGAAATGTGGGTTTTCTGATGATGTGAAACGATCTCCCACTGGTCTGACGAAAGTCGATTTCTTTTGTTTGTTGTGTTTGCGGCTGCAGAAACGCTGCATATGCACAAGAATATATCTTGGAGCAAGTACCATTTGGCGGGGTTCATTGATGTTGTGGAAGACCACAGACATGACTGTAAACCTGACCTTGTGACAATCAGACAAAATCTGAATGGACAACGGCACATGACTGATATCGCAGACAGTTGTACCACAGAAACAAACAAACCAAACAAACAAATAAATAAATAAATAAACAAATAGGCAAGAACAAGTCTTAATTTCAGTCTTGACTTAACCAATCATTGTAGACTTGAGGGGAACTGAGTTGGGTTTCTTCAGGAGGACCCGGGTACCCCTCAGATTATCAGGACCCGTTGTTAGGCATATGGTCATCGTTAATGGCCAAAACAATATAACTCCATGATCACAAGTAGCAAATATAATGTTTGCACTACTTCTGGCCATGCATGTATTCCTTCTGGCTTTTACATGTGTGAGTAAAGTTCAAGTTTCATTCAGCCTCAGTGGATGAATCACTAGTTCTATTCCTGTTTCTGGAAGAACTTTGCCAGGACACCGGTACAGCGATATACATATTTCCGTTTTGAGTTGATTTACATTGGTTTTTTACATCCATACCGCCGGCAACGCAAAAAACACCCTCTGCAGTCAAAACGACAAATATGTTTAATAAACTGATTCTAAAACAGTTTTTCAGAATCCCCAAACCGAAAAACCTCTCTACGCCCTCTACATACAGATTGTTCAGTGTTACACAAAATTCGTCATCACCTGCGTTGTGGCTGCCAATGACGTCACAGACAGCGTCACGTGACACTTCAACAATCACTGCGTCTTTTTATTGGAAAGCTTTAGAGATGGGTTTGTTTGGTGTTATACAGGGAGTGTGTAGTTCCCTGACGTTGCAACATCTACGCGATGTCACTGCTAAAAGCGTCGTACAAGAAGCTGGGTAAGATATGGTCAACCTGTATTAAATGCTTCCGATTCGGTTAAGGAGCCGTTATAATGACGGGCTTAGTGACAGACCATTGACACTTGTCACTATTCATAGGCGCCCTATGATTAACAATTTACTTATAGAACTAAACATTTAGATACATTTTTGGGGCTGCCTTAAAAAGGATGAGACTGGTCTAGCGCGAACGCACACACACACGCACTCACGAACTATGTACTTATTTTAAGGAATTATATATTGATCATGTTGATATTTTATTCGTTAGTTCCCATTTTAAGATGTATGTTTCCAGGTCCATACTCTCTAGCTTGCCCCGCTCTGTGGTACAGAACGCCAAGGTCGATCTGGGTAAGTTGTCTACACCATGCCTTTACATGAGTGAATGTTGTTTTACATTGGTGTACAAAACAGTAATCTTCATACCTTCCTGAATGTTATTTCGCCACAAAGGAACAACAAATGGGGTGGGGTAGGAGGCTTATGTACCTGAGTAATACACATGTCGTATTTAATGTTTTACAGAACTGAAGTCTGGATTTGCGAAAGCTGTCGTCACTGGAGGGACTGCTCTGTTGTGTAAGTAGTGTCAGTTGGGCTTATCACATCAAATCTCTAACCTATAACCTTGTGCCTTTGTCTTTACAATAGAGGAGTGAGTGAGTGAGTTGGGTTTAAATCCGCTTTGAGAGGACATGTTCGTTATATCACGGTGTGTCAGTCTGATTGGGGAGGAAAGCGGGAAGCGATGCATTTCTTTGGTGGCACCATCATGGCGCTGACAAATCTGGAAACATCATCATATAACTTAATGATTACTTTATCTGTTTAAAATGGGAGGAAAACCAGTAATACACGTTAGCCATGTGAAACACAATAACACATTGGGCATGTTGTAGGAACATGATAATGATCGGGACAAAAATCTGTTTCAAAACATTGAGCTGTGGATCCTTAAACGACCAAGGGACACAACCCTTCATCCGTATTCCTGGTAGTATACACTATACATCTCCTGTTTCAGGTGTTGCGGGTATGACGTATATTGTGAACAAGTATGGAGGGTCTGCCCTACGACGAAAATATTTTAATAAAAAAACAGAAGTTAAAGACACGTGCTCAGTAAAACAGCATCACCCTGAGGCTGAGGGACTTGAATCGGACTCCTGTTCCAGCCAACTATATGATCCAAAGTGGTGTGTGTCCCCTGGCAGCCTGTGGTGGGAAGTGGCAGGGGATGCCTGGTCCCGAGGGGAGGGGGTTCCCAATGACCCACTGTACGGGATACCCCCATGGATGGAGGCAGGCGGGCAGGACGAAAGTGAAGATGAAAGCCTCAGCTGGGACGAAGAATTTAATATTCCAGCAGGTGCCCTGTGGGCTGACATTTGTCCTGTGGTGGACTTGGTTTCAGAGGCACCCTACTAGCTGGAGGAGGAGGAAGTGGTGTAGGAGACAAGGTGAACAAGAGGGGAACGGTGTTGGAGGAGGAGCAGCGGGGATGTATAGAAGAGTGAGTGAGTTTAGTTTTACACCGCTTTTTGCAATATTCCAGCAATATCACGGCGGGGACACCAGAATGGGCTTCACATATGACCCATGTGGGGAATCGAACCCGGGTCTTCGGCATGATGAGGGAACACTTTAACCACTAGGCTACCCCACCTCCCCTACAGGCATGGACTAATGCGATAAGCTTTGCTGAAACATCTGCTGTAGAAGAAGGTGTAGCAGGGACTCAAGGGGGGATGGGGGTGCAGGAGGAGGAGGTGTGTAGATGCAGGCTAGGGAAGGGAGGGAGGAAACCGGGTCATTCATAAAGAACATCAAAACAAATATAATTAAGAAAAATATTCCTTTGTTGTTTTTGCTGCTGTTATCACCTGCATGGACTATTTTTAAACCTTGTAAAAAGATATATTTATTCACCTCGTGTTTATATCATTGTGATACATATTTACAAAACATACAAAAAATATTTGCTATGTTACCAAATACTTGCTTGATATTTGTGTATATTTATTAAATGTTAAAACATATTGTGGTGTTATTTTGAATTAATAAAATATCTTACATTATATATATCTTACATTATATTATCTCATGTACAAAATATCGTGTCTTACATTACATCCGTGGCACTCTTGCTACATTACATGCACCATCTGTGAATACAACAGACAATTACAACAAACCCTTGCAGATGGTTGGATATCATTAGAGTTATTGTGAACTGTGAAAATCTCCCAGGAACTGTACACGGCTGTTGCTCCAGAGGTGGTTGCGTTTCAGACACTCCAATATAAATAACAAGCATATCTGTATTTCTTAAGCAATATTTATTCAAAAAGGACTAAAACAAACCAAGTAAAGAAACAAGATGAAAGCATTTTGAAGTCAATGTTTGATTCCAACCTTTTTTCTAAACCACACACATTATTTTTTTATAACAGTGACACACACAATATCAACAAAATGTCTATATACATCGCTTCCAGAAGTTTGGACTGACAAATCAGCCCTGTTATTTCCAGAACCAGGGACACTACACCCGATAATGTTATAGTAACACAAAAGCCAACACTGTAAAACTCAACTCAACACTAGAACACTAAAACTAAGGTGTTACTGTAAAACTAAAACAACACTATAATACTAATCCCTGATTACAGTACACTAAACTTAACACTGTAATACTAATCCCTGATTACAGTAACTCTAAACTTAACACTATAATACTAATCCCTGATTACAGTACACTAAACTTAACACTGTAATACTAATCCCTGATTACAGTACACTAAACTTAACACTGTAATACTAATCCCTGATTACAGTACACTAAACTTAACACTGTAATACTAATCCCTGATTACAGTACACTAAACTTAACACTGTAATACTAATCCCTGATTACAGTACACTAAACTTAACACTGTAATACTAATCCCTGATTACAGTAACTCTAAACTTAACACTATAATACAAATCCCTGATTACAGTACACTAAACTTAACACTGTAATACTAATCCCTGATTACAGTACACTAAACTTAACACTGTAATACTAATCCCTGATTACAGTACACTAAACTTAACACTGTAATACTAATCCCTGATTACAGTACACTAAACTTAACACTATAATACTAATCCCTGATTACAGTAACTAAACTTAACTAAACTAAACCACTATACTAAACTTAACTGATTACAGTACACTAAACTTAACACTGCAATACTAAACCCTGATTACAGTACACTAAACTTAACACTGTAATACTAAACCCTGATTACAGTACACTAAACTTAACACTATAATACTAAACCCTGATTACAATACACTACACTTAACACTATAATACTAAACCCTGATTACAGTACACTAAACTTAACACTATAATACTAAACCCTGATTACAGTACACTAAACTGAACACTTTAACACTAAAGGAAAGGTCGTTAATGGAAAACTAAAGCAACACTAAATGCAACACTGTTACCGTAACACAAAAACCAACATTATGATAACAAACCCAACAATGTAACACTAAACCCAACAATGTAACACTAAACCCAACATATAACACTAAACCCAACAATGTAACACTAAACCCAACATATAACACTAAACCCAACACTGTAATACTAAACCCAACACTGTAATACTGTTTGTTTCAGACAATGAAAGGCATAAAAATATGCCTATAAATAGTGGGAATACTCCCACCTAATTGTTGATTTGCTTTCTTTCTTCTTTATTTACGAATAACCCTGATATAGCAACTTCGAACCACCCTTGTTGTTCCATATCACTTCCATGATGTATGGTGAAGTTGCATTTTTGACAAAAACTATAATATACAAATGTACTATAGAAGCCTTTATCTTAAGCAGAAGATCTCAAACTCATTTAAAATAAACAGGATGATGATGATGGTTTGAGGTTTAACGTCGGCTTCTGACTGTAGCCAATGTCGCCGACAGGGTAGGTGGGATATAAGATAATAATTAATAAGTTTATAATAAGGAATAAATCACCGTACCCAAAAAAATGTAAATGCTGGGGCGTTAACCTAAGTGGAATTTTGAATAAAAACGTTTAAAAACAGATAAACGAAATAAAATAGTAAAAGCCGAGTTTATGAAGGGAAAAGAGAAATAAAAAGGGGTAATAATTGTTAATAGGTAAGAGATAGGATTAAATTAAATGATAGTGTAAAGAGGGGCCTAGGATGTGAGTGTGGGTGTGTAGGGGTAAGTTATAAACACGTATAGCATAGTGGGGCATAGAATGTAGATTCAGTTAAGCTGCATTAGTTTAAAATAAACAGGATGATCTCAAACTCATTAAAAAGTATGTTCTATCAAAACATGAGTATAAAGGGCTCCAATCAGGCTTACAAAAACATCTTAATTCTTTAAGGGGATTACGTAATGATCAAAGTGTGAGACTACTTAATGATACATGAAAGAGGATTAAGTAGTGATCAAAATGTGACAAATAGAGAACAACATCTAGGAACAACAGCCAATTAGGAAAACATAAATGCTATCAAAACAATGCTTGCAATGCTTGAGAAAAACAACTTGATCAAAGATCAGGACACACTAAAACCTTTAACAATAGCAATTTGAGAAGAGTGGATTTTGTCCATTTTATTGTTAAGAAGAGGTGGATTTTGTCCGGGGTGGCAAATTTGGGGTGGATTTTGTCCAGTCACCAAATAGTGTAGATTTGCTTTTTCATTTGAATATGGGCATGGAATATCCTGACATTTAAATATAGGAGTTGATATGTAATCAGAAGCCGACGTTAAACCCCAAACCATCATCATAATCAGACAATACTAAAGACATCTTCATCTTTACTACAGTTGTAAAAACATAACTTGACTGTTTTTACCAACATTATATGGTGGACACTTGGAAGTTCCAGAAATAGTTCGTTAAGCATGCATTGTAGTAGTCACATTGTGGACAGGCACATTTTGGCTGGGCAAAAAGAGGTTGAAAAATATTCGATATGAGTATAATGACACAAAATGTATATCATCAAGAAAAGCAACCATCCAAAGGTCTTTCAGTCACTTCTGAAATGATTTGTTTGACATTTTTATTTGTTTGTTGTTTAACAGTGCACTCAGCAGTATATCACCTACATGATGGAAATTTGTTAAAAAATCAGTAACCAGCAGTTCCTGTCATATCAAAGGGACACAACTATGCACAGCAAGTTGTGGAGCCTAAAATCTTTCTCTTGACCCCACTTATATGGTTCTCAAACAGAAACACTATTAACAAGAGTCATCAGAAGATGACATATCCCCAGCCCCATGTGTTTGAAAGAACAAATCATCTGACAGTTACTTAAAGTCCAGCTTGATTTTAGACTAAGTGCAAATCGTTTCCATGGAAATCATGAAAAAAATAAATGACAAAAATCTGCAAATAGCAAAAGGCACCACTTCAAGATCTGCCTCACATATCTGCTAAGTTTTACTGAAAGATATTAAGAAGATTTTGAGTTGTGCTCCGGAAACGAAACCTACCCCACCCTTTTGAGACTAAGTATTATTACGGACGGATGGACGGACAGGACGGACAGACGGACGAGGCGATGACTATATCCCCCCGCATTACATGCCTGGGGATAAAAATCAGTGAAAATTGGCAAATTCTTTACAAAACTTTACACCAAGACGCAGCTGTTCACAAGCACATGCTTTTCAGCAATTTGATGCATGATCCTCGTGCAATTCATCTGCATAAGGTTTGCAGTTTGTTCCCCCAAGTTATAGTCCGTAAACTTAACTTTTGGCACCCTGTTTTTCACAAGTTATATAACACTCCTGAATATTTTAAAACACTACTCTGTTCATATGGTAATTGTATACTGTGACCTAACAAGATATCAATTTTAGTAATTTTAAAACGATTATTAAAGATTTTGCCTTTAAACCTGTCATATAATAATTGTAAAACTGTGGAGAGTTTTACAAGGGGTTAATGCACGTGATGGAAAAGCCAACAACACTGTAAAATGTGTGTCAGCATGATATGTACAGGCACGGGTATTTACATTAGCATGCTTAAGTGATGTCAAAGATCGTCAACACGCACAGGTTGTAGGAAAAACGATGTTGCACAAAGATGACCGTCAAATAATCAAAAGAGTTTACAACTTTTTCAAGCACGAGGCAAAGCGAAATTCTTTTTAAAACATTTCAATTGAATGTTTCTCCAAAAGACATTTAATGCCTCTAAGATCTGCAAAACAATATTGCAAAGAGTTATCTCCCATGACACTATTTCAGAGCCTGACGATGACATGGCTGTTAACTCGGGGACCGTCTCAAAAAATGCAAAGAAAACAAAGCTTGATGAATTCGATAGAAGGGTTGTGAGGGACTTCATGCGTCGGTTACATCGATCCATATTGTCAAGCAAACTGAAGAAAATATTGTTCAAAAGAAGACCATGACATCAATGTATCAAAGCATACCATATGCAAGCTGTTGCTCAAATTTGGATATAGATACAAGAGATCAAGCAACCAGTCTTTAAAGACTTCAATGAATCTACTTGTTTAAAATGGATTTATGATGATTATAGAGTCCCTGTAGATTTGCTTGCAGGCGTAACAATGTAAACAAGATGCACGGGTGTCACACCATGTTGTTGGCTGTTCCATCGTATCATTTTACTCCCTTGTATAACTACTTCTATTTTTCATATTTTTATAAGATGGCTTCTTAAGAAGAAGCTTTAATAATTGACATAAAATTATTAAATGTAAACCTTAGATAGGTCATAAGATATAAAGAGCGTATGCACAGAAACATTTTAAAGGCATTTTTGGTTAAAAGGTAAATTGGGAAAAACAGGGTGCCAAAAGTTCAGTTGACGGACTATAGTGGAGAAATCAATCTCAGATGTATACATTTATATAGCCATAGCATATAGTGAGTGTTTTAAGTGAGTCTAAACTTTTGAAAGGAAATATAATTTACAAAAGCTGCCGCACCTAAAACATAGTGTAAGTCGGTTTCAGTCAGTGCAGGCCCTTGACATAAACCACATTTGTGAATTCCACAAGCTCAGGTATGGTGCAAATAAACCCTGAAACACAATCAGGCAGAACAGGGATTTGAACATGATCATTGACTTTGTGTAGGCACAAGGGAGGCAACTCTGAACAACAGTAAGGCACATATGACCGACTTGACCACTTGTGTCACCCCCCAACTAGTGACTAGGGCCCTACAGGAGTCAAAATGTAGCAATTTCTGTTTCAGTATTTCAGCCTTTTTTATCTACATTCAGAATCTGATGTGTTAGTTCTGGGTGAGTGAGTGAGTGAGTTTAGTTTTAAGCCGCTTTTAGCATTATTCCAGCAATATCATGGCAGGGGACACCAGAAATTGTACCCATTCACACATTGTATCCATGTGGGGAATCGAACCTGGGTCTTTGGTGTGATGAGCAAACACTTTAACCATTAGGCTACCTCATCGCCCTTTCTTACATAGAAAAAAACCCATATATTCTGGTATGAATGTTTCATTTATCAGGACCAAGAATACAGACATTTTGATGCTCACTGGCCAAAAAGAAAGTTCTCCATAAAAAAACATTCTGAGGAGTTGTCGTCAGATCTTCTTGAAGAGAGGAAACATATTGGATCTGATTTCAATGTTTTAGCAAACATGTTTTGCTGTACTCTGCATAATGTTCTGTGGAATTTGATGAAATGCCTACCATCAAAATATACCATTATCAAATCTATGCATTAAACTCATGTATATAAAAATATCTTTTTACATACATAACCAAACATATTTTCTTTTTGACTTCAAATTCAAATATTTCAAGTAAAGTATAATGAAAAGGCAAATAACATGTGTATACTGAGCGAGTGAGTTTGGTTTTACGCCGCTTTTAGCAATATTCCAGCAATATCATGACGGGGACACCAGAAATGGGCTTCACACATTGTGCCCATATGGGGAATCGAACGCAGGCCTACAGCGTGACGAGCAAATGTGTTAACCACTGGGCTACCCCACTGCCCCTACACATGCTATATTAGTTGAAGGATATGATGCAATCATGGAAAGATTTAAAGCTAAATACGTGTTGGCCATATGAAATACAGGTGGCAAGAAAAGCTTCCTTGAAGAGCAACACTCTTATTGGTAGATGCCTGTTCTTTCTCTCATGTTCTTGAAGCCATAGTTGAGCTCAGCGCCACCGGACAGGTTGAGATCGATGCCGGTACAGAAGGTGCCCTCTGCTGCCAGAAACAAGCAGGCCTGGCCACACTCCTCGATAGTGCCAAACCTCCCCAGAAGCTGAAACAAAAGGGAGAAAGTAAGCAATAAATTCTTAGATATATCCCCTTTTTGATTGTTGAGGGATTTCCCATTTAACTTCTTGTTCTGTCTGTGTAGGGGGTTAGCTCTTTGGTCATGTGGACAAGGCATCAGACTTCAAATCAGAAGGTCCATGGGTTCGAATACCAGCATGGAACTCGGAAATTTTATGGACGCTGAATCTATGTTCTCAAACCAGAACGAAAGATGTTGTGACTTTATATTATCACACATGGGATTAAAATGATTCCTCTATGTACAAGATTTTATACATCCCGGGATTCTTCTCATGAGGGCTTATCACTCCTTTATACAGGTCTGTGGGTTCTCATACCCTCTTTATACAGCCCTTTGGGTTATCTTTACTTATACAATCCTGTGGGGCCCCCTTACAAGAGGGTTCAGACTGACACAAGAGGGTTCAGACTGACCCATACATGCCCACATGTCCATCTTACCCGTGCTCTTGATTTGATGCTCAATACAAACATGGTGATCCTCTTATACAGCAATGCAGTTAGCCCTCACCTTTACCCCTTTACAAGACCACATGTGTCCCCCTCACCTGTGCATCAGAACCCCCCTTTATACAGCCCTGTGGTTCACCCTCACCTGTGCATCAAAACCCCCTTTATACAGTCCTGTGTGTCCCACTTTCCTGTGCATCAGCACCCCCTTTATACAGACCCGTGGTTCCCCTCACCTGTGTATCAGCATCCCCTTTATACAGTCCTGTGGTCTCCCTTACCTGTGCATCAGCAACCCCCTTTATACCTGTGCCCTGTGTGTCCCCTCACCTGTGCATCAGCACCCCTTTATACAGCCCTGTGTGTCCCCCTCACCTGTGCATCAGCACACCTTTATACAGCCCTGTGTTTGTATACAGCTCTGTGTGTGTGGTCCCTCACCTGTGCATCAGCACCCTGTGTGTTTATACAGCCCCTGTGCCCTGTGTGTCTCACCCTCACCTGTGCATCAGCATCCCCACCTGTGCATCAGCAGCCCTGTGTGTCCCCTCACCTGTGCATCAGCACCCCCTGTGTATCCCTCACCTGTGCACAGCCCTGTACAGCACTGTGTCCCCTCACCTGTGCATCAGCAACTGCCTTTTATACAGCCCTGTGTGTGTCCCTCACCTGTGCATCAGCACCCCCCTTTATACAGCCCTGTGTGTCCCCTCACCTGTGCATCAGCAACACCCTTTATGCAGCCCTGTTTGTCCCCTCACCTGTGCATCAGCACCCCCCTTTAAACAGCCCTCTTGTTCTCCCTCACCTGTGCATCAGCACCCCCCTTTATACAGCCCTGTGTGTCCTCCTCACCTGTGCATCAGCACCCCCCCTTTATACAGCCCTGTGTGTCCCCTCACCTGTGCATCAGCACCCCTTTATACAGCCCTGTGTGCATCAGCACCCCTCAGCCCTGTGTGTCTCCCTCACCTGTGCATCTGCAACCCCTTATACAGCCCTGTGTTTCCTCCTCACCTGTGCATCGGCAACCCCGCTTATACAGCCCTGTGTGTCCTCCTCACCTGTGCATCGGCAACACCCCTTATACAGCCCCGTGTGTCCCCTCACCTGTGCATCAGCACCCCCCTTTATGCAGCCCTGTTTGTCCCCTAACCTGTGCATCAGCACCCCCCTTATAAACAGCCCTCTTGTTCCCCTCACCTGTGCATCAGCACCCCCCTTTATACAGCCCTCTGTGTGTCCCTCACCTGTGCAT